CTTAGTTTGTTTTTTAGATTCAATTATTGATAGATATGTATTTTTTGTTATTTTATTTTTCATAGTTTTGATCTTTTTCATAAATAAGTCACTGTAACATTTCATATAATACTGGTTTTGTGATGATGGGCTTCTTTAGCTTTTTCTTGTCTTGGAAGCTGTTTATCTGCCTTTCGATTCTAAATGAAGTTTTCTTGGTAGTGTAATCTTGGTTTTAGGTCCTTGCTTTTCAGCACTTTGAATACTTCTTGCCAGTCCCTTCTAGCCTGCAAAGTTTCTTTTGAGAAATCAGCTGAGAGTCCTATGGGAACTCCCTTGATTAACAACTTTTCTCTTGCTGCTTTTAAGATTCTCTCTTTATCTTTAACCTTTGGCATTTTAATTATGGGCCACTCTACATCTGTCTTGTTTGGGACTCTATTCTTCCTGGATTTGTATGTCTATTTCCTTCACCAAATTAGGGACGTTTTCTTTCATTATTTTTTTGAATAGGTTTCCAATTTCTTGCTCTTTCTCTTTTCCTTCTGGCATGCCTATGAAGTGAGTGTTGGTATGCTTGAAGTTGTCCCAGAGGCTCCTTACACTGTCCTCATTTATTTTGGATTCTTTTTTCTTGCCGTTCTGATCGTTTTTCGCTTCTGTGCTCCAAATCATTGATTTGATTCTCAGCTTCATCCATTTTACTGTTGATTCCCTGTAAATTGTTCTTTATTTCAATTAGTGTATCCTTCATTTCTGACTGGATCTTTTTTATACTGTTGAGGTCCTCACTAAGATCCTTGAGCATCATTATGACCAGTATTGGGAACTCTGCATCTGATAGATTGCTTATCTCCATTTTGTTTAGTTCTTTTCCTGGAATTTTGTTCTGTTCTTTCATTTGGGTCATGTTTATTTGTCCTCTCATTTTGGCAGCCTTCCTGTGCTTGTTTTTATGTATTAGGTAGAGCTGCTGTGACTCTGTGTCTTAATAATATTGCCTAATGTAGTAGGTGTCCTGTAGGGTCCAGAAGCACGGCCTCCCCTATCACCCAAGCTGGGTACTTAAAGTGTGCCCTCCATGTGGACTGAGTACAGCCTCCTCTTGTAATTGAGCCTTGCTTGCTGTTGTCAGGTCAATGGGAGGGATTTACCCAGGCCAGTCAGCTGCAAGGACTGGCTGTAACCACTGACCACCAGCCTCCACCCTCCATGGAGGAATAACTGTGCTGGGGCCCACACCACAGTGAAAACTTACTTTAGCAGGGCTCTGGTGCCCACCGAGTCTACCCCTTGAGTGTGTCACTTGTGGAGGTGGTATTGCTCTGATGTGGTCTATAACCTTCTACCTGGGGTACGCAGGCTCTAGGGTTTCCCAGAAGGTGCAGGCCAGGGTCAGCCACTGCCTATGTTCTATCTGGGGCTACCTGGCATAAGCTATAAAGCAATCTGCAGATGGCTGCTCCATGTGCTGGGCTGGGAGGTGCCCAAGTATGGCCACGCTGTGAACTAAGGCCAGCTGTTGCTAGTGCTGGGCCTGGGGCTATTTAGCAAGAGGTACTGGGCCTCCTGAGGTCTGCTGCTGCTGTTTGAGAGGATTTAGGAAGATCTGAAGCATGAGCCAAGACAAACCATTCCTATGGAAAAGCCACTGTTAACAGCTTTGGTAGGCTTATGATTTGGGTCAGGCAGAGCCTCAGGGAATCGCCAGGGTGAGGAAAACAGCAGGAGCCAGGTTGATGGCATCTCATATAGGGTGCCTGCTGCTCTGTGGCTCTGTGGGGGGAGGACTCAGAAGAGAAACAATAGCCTCTGCCAGCAATTCTGTCTGGGAGAAAGCTGTCCCCTAGCTCTCACTCTGATGCCAGACACTTCAGTTCTTCCCTTTATGCCACTGGTGCCTTTGAAGCTGCTGCCCTAGTGCTGAAGCTCAGAGGGAATGAGTCTGAGTAAGTCGGTGCATTGGACGATTTAAGAGGAACTGTTTGGGAATCCAAATGTTCCTTCCACCAGCTCAATCCCCTCTGGTTTTTGCAGCCAGAAGTTATGGGGACTTAAGCTCCTGGCCCTGGAACCCTGGGCTGGGAGGCCTGGTGTGGGGCTGGGCCTGCTCACTCCCAAGACATCCCTCCCCATTTTTACCCACTACACATGGCTGTGGGATCAGCCCATTGTCTCTGCATCTTTGCACCTCCTACCAGTCTGGATGGATGTGGTTTCTTTAATTCCATAGTTGTGGGGCCTCCATTCAGCCCAGTTTCTGATGGTTCTGAGAGATGGTTGTTCTGTAGTTTAGTTGTAATTTTGATGTGGTTGTGCAAAGAGGCAAGGTGTGTTTAACTAGTCCTCCATCTTGGAGTTCTCCTGATACATGTTTATTTTATATTTGTTTTAGAGTCCCCAGGAAAATCTCTGTGCAATACAAGCCTCTGTTATGCTGAAACTGAAACAAAAGATAGCAGGTATCTCAGTGACAATTGAGACTGATTTCCTTAAAAAGATAGGTTAAAAATTGGAAAAATAAATAAAAAAAAATACCAGTTGAAAAACTTTACACTTTAATGTTTTTAATATACACAAAATACTGTATAGTGTTGCGTGTTTCTCGCTCACTTAGATCAGCACCTCTACTGTAAGCAGTTGATTGTAATCTATCTTTAGATACATCTTTCAAAATTCTTATTCTAATTGAAAACCAGATGTAACAATAATAGACAAGTCAAGTCATTGACATTCACAGGAATGTTATTAAATACTAACTAAACCTTTCCTTCCTGTCAATTCTTGTTAAAAATATATATTCTGATTTTTATTCTGGATAATTTAAATAACTGCATTTTTACCAAATATATCTCTGTTGGTTCTTGCTGCTAAGTGAAAATTACAGTTTCCCCTTGAAATTACAATTTTGTGAGTTTGAACTATTGAATGAAGCTTTATTAACAACAGCTGCTTTGTCATTGCTATTCCTGTAGAATGAAGCTGGCTAATTGCTGTAATACCTCAGTACTAGACAAGACAAAAAAGCAAAGGGAGATCCTTAATAACAGACCATTTTCTATAATGTTTGCAACTTGCTGGGCAAATTGGTGGTTTTAGGGATTGGAAAACTACAAGAGTCTTCTCATTAGCTGTACTTTAGTATATAATTAAAATAATCATTTATATCCCCAGAAAAGGAAATAGCACATTATACAGGGTATGGATAACTTGGCTAGATTTCATAAGGACAGCTATAGAAAAAGCAACATAGCTTTACTATCAATTTTAATTCAAGAATTTTTAACTCATTAAAATGGGAAGAAAACTAACATTGACTGTGTCACATACTATGCTGGTTGCTTCATATTCATTCTCTCTCATTTTAATCCTCATAATGTTCTCATTTTATGGATCAGTAAACTGAAACTCAAAGTCATGTAAGCAAAAAATTGTGTAATATGGACTTGAATTTATGCCGGTTAACTCCTGAGCCCTGTGTTGAATCAGAATTTTAAAAAATTTCAATGTTTCCATGTCCTTAATTTTATATTTTGAATTTACTCCACCAAATTATCATTCGTAATATCTAAACTAAAGGGGATATATTAGATATTAACGGTGAATTTGGGAAAACACCATGCTTTCAGAAATCCAGTTAAGTAGCTGAAAATTTCAGTCTGTTCAATAATAATTCGTTTGACCTCAAGGCTGTTTTCTTCCCTTTTACTCAGTACCAAGATTTATATAGGGAAGTTTCCTTGCTGTGCTTTCCTTCACTGTGGGCCTATTTTAGCTAGAGGGTATATCCCCATGGGGTTTCTAGTGCATATAGGGATTTTCCGTTAGAAGCCCCATTTTGAGAATGCCCTAGGTTTTGTCTGTGTTTTTTGTAGTTTGCATAGCTGTCAAAATTAAAGCTCAAGGTCACCAGAGTTTTGCAAAAACCTTCAGGGAAATTGATGGCTTTGGAGCTCACTTCCCTCCCAGGTAGAGTTACTCTCACTTACTTTCTTGCCAGGTCAGCAATTTATTTTGAAACATTTTTTTAAATAATTCATTCAGCATTTTAGTTGTTTTCAAAGTTAGGGTTGCATATCATACTGCCAAAAACGGAGTTCATTGTGTTTTTCATTTTTGTTTTCATTAATTTTAACTTTAAAAAAGAGGGGGAAACATTGGTGTTTTTCCCTAAAGAAGTAATTATTAGACTTATATAAAAATAAGGCTCTTCTTTTGACTCAATGTACTGTGCTGATCATTTCACAGTATAAAGAAATATCAAATGATTGTGTTTGTACACCCAAAACTAAAATGTTGTGTGTCAATTATGCCTCAATAAAAATAAATAAGACTCAGTGTTTATCCCAACGTATATGTATGTGTTCCTGTACATACCTATTTTTACAGAAATAGGCCCAGGAAGTATATTAATTGTGATATGTTATTTCCTTGACTTTATATTTCATAATAAGTATACATTGCTTTTATAATAAGGGAAAATGAAACAATCACTATGGTAAAAAAAACAAGGTATTTTTAGAATAAAAAAATGATCTAACAGTATGAACAAGTAGCTATTATAGCATATCATCTATATTATGTGCATCAGTTAAATGTTCTGGGTACTAAAAATTTACTAGCTGACAAGCATGTTCCTTTCAACAGTAGATCTGATTGTATTTCAGCCATCTCAGTAGATACTTGGTGACATTTACTGGGCATTTCTCTACTTTGTTCATATAGCCTGTTTCATAGTGTGGGACTGTAGGCCCTATACTGAGTAATTCAAGGTTGCCACATAGCATGGTAGATGCTTTGTAAACACTAAAAACAAATATGGTTTTTAATAGTTTTCTCCCTCTCAGTAGCCTCTCTGTGGTAGATTTTCTTTTGGTTCGCAGGCTGGCGCTCGATCCACTGAGCTGGGGCTGATAGATTTTCTTAAACTTTCTTAAATTGGCTTCTTAATAGAAATTTCAGCTAGAATAGTCACTTGACAAAATAATGTCTGGTTTTAAAATCACTGTCTTCTTTTTAAGGACAAGGAACATCCAAGATATCTCATCCCAGAGCTTTGCAAACAGTTTTATCATTTGGGCTGGGTCACTGGGACTGGAGGAGGAATTAGCCTGAAGCATGGGTAAGTTTCTGGCTGATTGCATTTCCAGGAATTCTGCATAGAAGTAGACAGCACAGAGCCTAACATGCATTATGTCTGAAGAAAACTGACGTGCAGTTTTGGGTCATCCTGAAGGTATTACGTTTCTACTTAGAGAAATAGATATTTGCATAACTGAATGGAACATGTACAGTATATGTCAAAGCTGCCAATGTAATAAATACCTAAGGATTTGAGGACACAATTTCTAATTAGAATAATTTGGTCCTCAGTCTTTGGAGGACCAGCGTTAAATAACAGGCTGCCAAGTATGTTCGTATGTCTGGAATTTTAAAGGGTCCCCTCTAGATAGACAAGATTTGTTTCAAAGGTTCAGAAATATATTTTAAAGTCACTTAAATACAGATTACTAACCATTGACTTCCTAAAAATTACATTTTATTGAGTCAAAAGAAAGGGAATATGCCATTCTGAAGCACGTGTATCATTATTAATGGGCATAGCACCTGGTGGTCCATGTTGCTCAGTGGACAGAGCCAGAGGTACAGAACTAGAAAGAGAAGGAATGACTAGTATTTAATACTTCATTAGATTCATTTGGAGTCTTTCTCCCAAGAGGATAAAGAAATAAGTAACTTACCGACAATGAAAAGAGAGGTGGTAGAATCTCATTCTCTCACGTGTTTTTTCCTCTTGGAATGGTTAGGAATGTTATTGTCTGGAGGCTGAATGTTAAACTGAGTAGCTTGATTTATTTCTTTATCTTAATTCACTTTCTTTAACAAGATTAGATTGCTACAGTATTTATATAACATTGAGAACACAGACTAATACCCCAAGGGGGCTGCATTGTGTACAAGAAACAGAACGTAAAATGTTTTGTTCAAAACCAGGACATTTTGAACAAAAGGGATTTTATGACATACCACAAGATGGTGCCGTTGCGATTTCATCTGCCTCAAATTTGACGAGGTACATCCTGAAACATTAATGGAACTGTGGGAAATGGCAGGAGGGGCCTTGCCAACAACTGTCACAGCAGTGTGAGTAGGGATGCACTCTCTCTGGCAGCGTTTCGGTCACGTCATACGTTCATCCATGCTTCTTAACATCAACCCAGCGCTAACGTGTCAAGTTAGCATTGTACAGGTTTTCAGATTATTTTGCCAAAACTTTTTAAATGACCTGTTTCCAGCAAAGTCCTACAAGAGCAACATTGGTTATTATTTTATCCATTCAGGAGTTGAGTCCCAGTACTGGTTTCTCAGCTGTATTATTTAAAATAAATCACATTCTAAACATTGCCTTTAATTGACTGCTTTTTATTTGCATATACAGAAGTAGTTTGTGTATGTACAAGACAGAGCTTTTTAACAAACTGAATTAAAATAACCATTTTAAACTGGCTTTTGTTTTTAAAGCAAAGTTAAAAATAGAATGCAGGTAAGGGGCTGCTGCAAATCTCAAGGGGGAATTTTTTTTTATCATAAGGACATAAAAGACTATGTTCCTTCTAGAAGAATTTTACTGACATGTATACTGAAACTGTGTGGTCACCCTGAAGTACTCACCAGTACCTTTTAAAATTAAATGGCTTTTATAACACTAATTAATCAGTTTAGAGGAAAATTGCATGGTATATAAAATGCTTTTGCCTTAAATTCTCAGTGGGTAAGGAGCTCCTCCTGGAGGTCACAAGTGGAAACAGCCACAATTTTATGGCACTGTATTACTCAATTTGTACCCTACATGGTAAGATAGGTAATTTGTAGTAAAATTTGAATTTTTCCTCTAAGACCTAAATGACTTCATAAGCCCACATCAACTACTACTTTATCAGCAATGTTATTCTCATGCTGTTAGTGAAAGCTTGGTCTTCTTTGATGCTTAGAACAAACAGATTTGGAATGAAGTACAAACCTAGTAGATTACATTTCTAGAGTAATACTGACAATAAGCTTTTTGGGAATATAAAATAATTTACCGAAGCCAAGGTTTAGCTGATAGTATTCCAGCTTATGCTACTGATGTGTGATACCAAAAGATGTATATAAAAGACAGCTTAAGACACATCTAAGAGTTAGGTCAGAAGGAGGAAGAGGAGGGCCAACAAAATGACAGTAACCAAGGCAGTCCTCTGGTAGGCAGCAGCCACTGTGTTTAGGTCAGGTCCCTACCGTTCACATTTAGCATTTCCTGTTTTTATGGCCAGAGGTGCTAACCCTGTTGCATGCTATTAGAATTAAAATCAATAAAATAGACAAGGTAATTAAGATTTAAATGACTAGACAGTAAATAAAAAATAGATATATTACAAACTCTTGGGTTTTGTCTGTGTGCTTACCACTTGTGAAAGAGCAGGGAGTATAAAGAAATAAATTCCAAAACTTAATACCTTGAAATTTAAAATGCTTTTCATTTGTGTCTTACAGCACCAAGTAAATACTTCACTTTTAGTCTTTGGCATGTCTTCCTCCTAAAATAAAAGCTATGCCATCTTTGTTATTTTTACCCAGATATCTCCTTCTTTGTAGGTGTAAATATATCTTTTCTAAAACCTATGTACCTAATCTTTAAATTATCCAAAGTTGATCAAAGTCTAAACTAATTTCCATTTCACAAAGGCAGTAATAAAAGCAGATTTGGCGTACCAAATCACTTGAATAAACAGAATAAATACCCTGGATTTTCCTACTTTGTCAATGGATTTTATTTACCAGCAGACTGTTTTGTACTTTATTTGGGTCGGTTCCCAGGACTGCATCAATTTCTCCCACAAAAGAGGACCTGCAAGTCCACTTACCACGGGAGGTAATTAGAGTCCACCCCACGTTATTCTAGGGTTTCTTCCCTACCCCTTCCCACTGGTTCTAGAGGAGTGCCATTCTACGGTTTTCTCAGGCAACAAAGCTTTAAAGCACCAGTTACTTTGTGAAAACAAACGTTTTCATGTTGCTTAGGCACTTTGGTTTTCACTGCCATTTTCAGGGCAGGCATTTATTTTCTAGTCCTTAATTTAAGAGCGAACCATTAGGGAACTTTAATTTCCTTATATTTTGTCAGTTCCAAGTCAGTAGGTTTACTAGTGACCCCAACTTTCACAGCTTGATTCAATACAGGCTGTCCTTCTCATTTTCATTATGGAACAGTTAATATTTATTCCGTGTCCCTGTGTCCATGCCTCAGTGGCAGAAGCTGGAGCATGCATCCACTGGCATTCCTTTTGTTTGCACATGTGTGGCAGCTCTAATGCCCTCCAGGAGCAAGTGAAACCAATAAATGAGCCGAAGACTCTTTGTGAGACGGGGGAGCAGAGAGAATTTAGAGAAGATTTTGATATTAATTTCCAAGTCAAATTTGGAAGCACCTTGTGGTACATGGTAGGGTATAACACAACATTCTTTAACAGAGACAACTCCAGATGTAGCCATGTCTTTTATATATTTAACTTTTGTAACTGTCTTAGCCTTATTACCAAATATTTTCATAAGGTAGGTGTGCTTTTCAAACAGGAAGCGTACTGCTCCACCCAAAAGGTAGCCATGTTAATTCTGTAATTTTAATAAACTGTCCAGCAGAGGTCTCTGAACTTCATGTTTTATAGTAAGAGCATTTAAAAGAGTAAAATTAAACCTGATTATTTGCAAGACAGGTATGTACTCCTAGTGAGTATATTTCCCCTGGTTGGATTTTAAATTAACTATATTCCACTTATACTAGGATAAACTCTGCTTATTCATGCTTAAAGATTCATGCAAAAGTCTTGTGTTTTCAGGTTTTATTTCTCCTAACCAGATAAAAGCCTGGTTACCAATGATTTTGCCCCATAAAAAGAAATAGAGAAATATATATGAAAACGTAGAAGACTACCACGTTTTACTGTGTCACCAGCATTACATAAGGCATTAAAGTATTTGATTTCTTTCTATACAGCCTCTGCCATTACTTAAATCAAGCTGCTGCTTGCATGACTTGATTTATGCGAAACATTAATGATTGGACTGCAAGGATGCGTTTTTCTTTGTGCAAAAGCAAAATGTTAGAGTTAAATAAATACCAATCTCTATATTTTGTGTTACCAGCAATGAAATCTACATTGCTCCTTCAGGAGTACAAAAGGAACGGATTCAGGTATGGTAAAGGGATCCTTCTTAAACCTAAATGTGTTTTCTTCTGCACTGGACAATTATTTTGTGAAGTGAAATTAATCTTAAAAGAAATGTTTGTTTTGAAGGGTGGTTATATTATGATAATTTGAATAACTAATTAACAAACATTAGTTGAGCAACTATTAATTTTTTTTAAGGTAGTAATTATCCTCTATGCAACCAGTGTGTTTTGAACTCCCATTCAGCCTCTAGAGGGCAAATGTTAATAGCATAATCTTAAGTCATAGTATAAAAAGGGATTCTAACTTTGCAGCTTTATAACACCATCTTTATCAGGCTAGTAGGATAGTCAGATTGACGGCCTCAAATGAACCAAACTTGATTCCTATTTGATAATAGCAAAGCTATTCCAATTTAAAGTTTATAAACCTTATTTCAGAATTTTGAGAAGACTCATTTGTATGAATGCCTATAATACCCCAACTCTATTTAAAATGACCATGTAATACTTAACTTCTACCTATGGAATAATGCTTTATTTAAATATTTGTGATAAACTCTGTAGTTTGTAGTTGGTAATAAACCCTGACAGATGCACGTTACAGATCAGGAACATGCATGCATTACTAGGAAATATCTGTGACTCTACATAAGTACTCAGAACTTTAAGAGTAATATACCTTGTTGAGATTAACGTTTCTGAGTACCAGCTAAGTATCTCAGGGGATAAGAAAATTTTACTCTATATTTTTCCTCTTATATTATGACACTAAAATACCCATCTCAGAATAATGGCTTCTTTATATAGTCTCTCTGAAATATAGTTGAAACCTAAATTGATGAAGCGACAGCCACATCATTGCATACATGTTAAATATTCCATATCGATTTTTTCTTCAAACTCTAAAGGCAGGTTTTTTCAGCTCTCTTGAGTTAAATTTTAGCTGTCATCAGGATAAAATATTTTTTATTCTCAAAATGGGTAAAAAAAATGGGTATGAATACTTAAAATACGAGTTGAATATGTATACATATATAATCACTCTGTGTGAATGCATACTGTCTACATGGGTGGGCAAAAGCAGGTTTACAGTGGTAATACAACTATAATACAATAATACAATAAACTTGTGTACTCATAACTGTAAACCTACTTTAGCCAACCCTTCTATTACAAGAAAGGGGACATTTCTAATGATGTGGTATAAACCTTTTTTTCTTTTCTACCCTCTATAAATAGCCTGAAGACATGTTTATTTGTGACATCAATGAACAGGACATACATGGACCTCCGCCGTGCAAAAATCTAAGAAAAAGCCAGTGTACTCCCCTTTTTATGAATGCTTACACTATGAGAGGTAGGCAGAAAATGTGTTTGATGTAAAGAATACTTGTAGAGTAGGCTCCCCTAAATAATGGTGTCGGTTGTTACTGGTAATGTTTCTTTGGCACCTACTATGCGCAAGAGCTTTCCACGTGTTAACCCCTTCAGTCCTCGCATCTGCCTGCACGGAAGGTCCGTTATTACTCCGTGTTACATGGGGGAGGACAGAGGCTCTGGGATGGCTTTTCCAAAACAAACAGCTAGTAAGTACGGGGGCCAGAATTCCAACCTAGATCAGTGGGACTCTCCTAGATTGTCAAACTGACTAAACGCCATGTTGACAGTCAGATTCCCACTCTCAGTTTAGGGTTACGCCTTTGGGAACTTGTAGTAGAAGTAAATCAAATTGCAATGAGGGTGAATCAGCCTTCTCCTCACTTTCGTGGGAGTAGTCCTGACTGTTTGAAAAATTTACTGGGTGATAACAATAGGAGTCATATTTTAATTCCCCAAAATCATGGTAAAAAACCAGCCTGGAAAGGTTGAACCTACAGGACCTAATGTAAAAATAGAAAATTATAACTGAAGTACTGGCTCAGATGTAGCAATGAAGTCATTAGAACTACGCTTTACTATGGTCACTGAGTGAAGTCAATACTGAGTAAGTTATCATGCTATGTTCTGATCCTGAACATTATCAGCTGTTACTGAAAGGATAGAACTTCAGGAAAAGATTCTAATATCCTGAACGACCTTTCCCAGCATAAAACTAGATAAACTTCCAAATTTCAAAAATAGCAATTACTGAATTTCATAGCATTCGAATCCTTTTTTAGGTAAATTTATTACATCTATACCTTAAGATCCCTACCATCTCTTATGCTACCAAGATATGTCCTGTGCTATAAAGCCTAACTTGGTAATTAAGGGCCAGACTGACCTGGGTTCAGATTCAAGTTCTGTCACTAGTGTCTGTGAACCAGAGACAAGTTCTTTGTAACCTCTCTGAGCTTCCATTGACCACTAAATAGTGACCTCTATGGCGGTTGTGATGATGCAAAAAGATAGCATATAAAAATAAGGTTTCCCCATTGCCTGGCCAATAGGAACCCCTAAGTAAGTGGCAGTATTATGATTGTGATCTGCGTGATTATTATAGCCACACTTCAGACCATCTCAAGATACTTCATGAGCACATGTAAAGTATTCTGAATTGTTCCAATACTGGATAAAGTGTAATTTCTTTTGCTCTCTGACTCCTCTATTAGTATTTCTTTCTTCCTCCCTCCCTCCTACCTTACTACCTACTGCCAACTTATTCTTTGCCAAGAAAAACAAGTCCATAATGATGTATAAACGTGTGTGTGTGCACGCACGCCTGTTTGTGTGTTTGTGTGTGTATTTTCTTTAAAAGTATAATTCAGCTTTCACCGAGCACGCGACTTCTTCTTTCTCTCCCAGGCGCCGGCGCAGTGATTCACACCCACTCAAAAGCTGCTGTCATGGCCACCCTCCTCTTTCCGGGCCGGGAGTTTAAAATTACACACCAAGAGATGATAAAAGGAATAAAGAAATGTACCTCAGGAGGGTATTATAGGTATTATTTTCCTACTCTTGCTTAAATAATTTGAAAAGTATCCTTTCTTCTTTTGATAAACAGGCTACTGATTTTTTAATGCATTTAATGAGATATTGTGGGATCTATGTTAAATAATACCCCACGTAATATTCTTTTTCCAAATCTGTTCTTAGTGACACAAACCAGATGCCTTCCCTCCCCCTCCCCAACTCTCACCAGAGCCTTGGTAAATTATTAGCAACGTGAATAATGAAATGTTTGTCAGAGCAAAATGACAAAACCTTGGCTGAGACGTCTATAAAGACGGAAAGATTATGTTCCTGCACTGAGGCACCCAAAGAGCAAGATCTCCACACCTTCACTTTGTCTGCAGGAAGTTTCAGCCCTGACTAAAGTTTTCACTTCGTTTGGATTTGATCTAGTATTTCTAGAACATGTTCATGTTTATAAAAGTTTTATTATTATTTCAGTTACGTAGATCTCCATGTTTTTTATAATTTTTCACTGTGGAAAGTGGCATAGATAGTATAAAACAAAGGTCGCGATAGAATCAAATAAACCCACCAGCCCACAAAAATGTAGTAATTATTCATCAATCTAGAATATAGTGACGTGATGAAACATGCTCTCGGTGCTCAGATACAAGCTAAACATTTCATTTGGATGTATTGGCGTTCCTACTCCTGAGTCTGCACCCTTCCTAATTTTCTTAAAGGGTCTTGTTTAAAGGAAAAGGGTGCCAGTTTTTCTAAAGTGTTCTTACAGCAATACCTTATTGTTGCTGCATGTAACAGAAGGTACATGTTTAAACTAGTGTGCTGAGAAATTAATTTTATTTGATTTTAGTTAATATTTATTGTGTACCTAAAGCATTCCTCAGTGCTGTGAAATACCTATTTACAAAAGTTAAAATATTTATGTTATGAAAGTGTACATACTAAAGAAAGTATAGTTGCCTTTTCCATATCTGGGTCTTGAAGGAAAGGTCTTATGTGTGATATCGATTTCATCAGCATTTGATTGCTTTTGTGAAGGAATAAAAATAGAAGAACATACAAAAGGGTGGGTAGAGGAACAGAGCGCAATAGAGAACTTTGGAATTGTGGGGCGGGGAGGACATGAATTCTTGAAAAGATGCCAGTTCTTATGTATTATACATATTCGGTATATTCTTGTGAATGTTTCAGAATTTAAAGAATAGAAACTTTTCTATGGGAAATCAGTAACAGAGTCATTATTTCAGTCCCGTGGGGAGTAATATTTTATCAGAGTCTGGGGAGAATCCTAAGGGTCCAGTTTTCAAAAGTAAGAGCAGTAAGGGCTGGATGAAATAAGAAAAGAAGGTTCCAATATTCTCTATTCTGTTTTATTAAGTCCATCATGGGGAAAATTTTTTTGAAGTACCTAATTCTTATCAGCAGAGGTTACCATATTTAAATGTAATCTTCCTCCCTTTTGGAAGCAACATGTGTACGGTAGAGTGAAAAGAACACTGTTTGATGGTCAAGGACTTCTCTTGCTCTGTCCCTCATTTAACTTATAAGGATTAGTGTAGAGTGGGTGGCTTGGATTGAATTATCTTTCAGGTCTTTTTTGCTCTGGAATTATTTTGTCCCTGAAAATATGTCCGACTATTCAGTATATGCTCGAGGAAAATATCAGTTTGTGGCTCTCCTGGCTAATATTAGGAAAGATTTGGGACTAGCAATTCATTCCTTTCATATTTAAGAATATTTTATAATTACCTCTACTTTACTTAAGTGAAATAATGAGCAACTCTGTACTGTTAATAATAATGGCTGGCCAAGTTAAACATGGCAGCTACTTAGCCTCCACCTGCCCTAAACTAGCAACTTCTGATACTGCTTTAGCAGAACTTTTAGGTGAAGTTTAGCCATTACGGAAGGAGTGAAAAAAGCAGATGTTACATTACCAAGGCAAGAGAAATTCATGTAACGAGTCTGAGTTTCAACTGGTTATAAATGACTTAAACTTTACAGCAACTAAGTTATTTGCTTAAATGTTATTACATGAATAAAAAGGAAAACACACATTCTGATTTTATCACATGTATTCAGCAAAACAAGGCAGAAGTAAAAGATGTTCTGATGCCTCATATTTAAGAATGGTCTGAAATATTACTGTATTTTTAATAGTGATCTCCAGAACTTTCTTGATATCCCAGTACCACAGACCACACCTGTATTTATTTGCCTGAGATACTCTGGGGTCCTGCAGAGTTAAAGTAATATGTTTTTTATCATTGAAAAATTCCTACTTAATAAGTAGTTCAATTGTTAATGCCTCAGTTTTGGTTCTGATATCTATCTTTTCCCATCTTCTCTTAAAAATATTTTGATTGTCTCTGCTTCAAGGAAATACTTGTGTGATCTTGATAATTTCTGTTAGGTCTTGGTATCCTATACAAATTTCTGCCACTTACTAGTCTTAGGATCAGAATAATGCCTACTAAATATGCAAGGCATCTTTTAATACAGATGTTTGTGCAAGATACACAGCATGACATGCAACACTCGTTCATAATTTGGAGTGGCTTTCCAGATAGAAAGAGACTGTCTAACTGGTTGCTTGAAAAAAATTTAAAAATTTTACCTATGAATACTTTTGTTTTAATGGGAAAAAGAAAGGCTTGTTCTGGCTTGTAGATATGATGATATGTTGGTGGTGCCCATTATTGAGAATACACCTGAGGAGAAGGACCTCAAAGAACGAATGGCTCGCGCAATGAATGAATACCCAGACTCCTGTGCAGTACTAGTCAGACGTCATGGAGTTTATGTCTGGGGAGAAACGTGGGAGAAGGCTAAAACTATGTAAGTATAAATCAAAGAACATTTGGAACAAGTCACCATGCTCTGAATGTGAACGAAAACAAAATAAGTCTTAGGATTTTAAATGAAGTGTGATTTTTTAAAATATGTTATTAGTCAAATTGATTTAAATTTAAATAGCTTATTATTATTGTTTCTAGATATTTGATTTGCATTGTATATTTATTTAGCCCTGGCCAGGGTAGCTCAGTTGATGGGAGTGTTGTCCTGTAAACCAAAGGGTGGCAGATTTGATTCCCTGTCAAGGCACATACCCAGGGTGCAGGTTGAATTCCCCGTCAGGGCACGTACAAAAAGGAAACCATTATTTCTCTCTCTCTCTCTCTCTCTCTCTCTCTCTCTCTCTGCAATTAAAAAAAATGTCCTTGGGTGAGGAGAAAAAAATTTTTTTTTTTTTTTAAGAAATATTTATTGCATGAGCTATTTGGCATCGTGCACTTTAGTGCAAAGAAGGAGAGACAGATCTTGTTCTCGGAATTTAAGGTTGGAAGGGAGAATAAACTAATCCAAGTTATGTAAAGGTTTGCTACATTTATTTCAAAAAATGGCACAGAGTGAAAAATTTAAATTTATATAAGTGATATATTTTAAACTCCCTTTTATATCCTGAGAAGGATATAATGTGGTTGCCTGATTCGGTATTATTTCTTTCCATGTTTTAATATTATTGGGGGCAAACTAAGAAAAATTTAGCTTAAAATTGAGAAAAATTGCTAACCCTGCTAGGAATAGGGCTAACTTGATGGAGAGGAGAAGTGTGATTATTAGGATTGGAGAACTCTTGTGTCTCTAAAGACCTTCAGTTCTTTTTGCTTTTTCTTTTATAGGTGTGAGTGTTATGACTATTTGTTTGATATTGCCGTATCAATGAAGAAAGTAGGACTGGATCCTACACAGCTTCCGGTTGGAGAAAATGGGATTGTATAAGCCAAATGGAAATTTATATACAGAGGCAAAGCTTATCTTAATTATTACTTTTAGAAAAAACCTATTTTTTTAAGTTAATTGAAAATTTTCATGCTGCCATTAGTTTGTCACTAAATACTGCAGATAATCACCCTGAGTCTCTTCTTGGCATTGATTTGCTTAAATTCTGTTATTTTAAATGACAATGCAATAGAATAAAAATTTTATAATGAATGTTTTTTGTTTATTTTTTAATCCATAACAGCAAAATATTTCCTTTTAAGTTAATACTCTTTTTTGTACAGACTCCCAGGGGATTTCTCTTATTCTTTAAAGTTTTAAAGTTGCTGATGATAATAGAATTCTTGGGAAATTTCCCCTTAGTTATGGAATAAACTGTTTCTTGTTTTTGCCAAAACTAGCGGCCAGTTCTCTGTATTTTATGTGACTGTACAGCAGCATTACTAGTGATCATTCCCTGCTTAAAACATTTTTCTTGGACTGGTGTGATTTTCTGCTCACCTCATTGGTCGTTTTTGTGGTTACCTTGAATTTTTCTCCCCTATCAGACTTGGAAATGTCCGAGGGTCTCAGGACTGTCTGCCCTTAACCATGGTCTTCATCTGTACTTTCTCCTAGGAGATCTCATGCAATGCCATCGCTTTAAATATCATCTACATGCTAATGCCTCACAATGCTTTATTTCCAGCCCAGACCTCTGTACATTCCAGACTTATCTCTCCACCCTCTACTTCTCACCGCTTGGATGTCTAATTGACATCTTAAACCTTCCAGTGCCTAAAACAATACTATTGATTTTTCTTCCCTGTGAGCCATTACCATCCCGTCTCCCCCAAACGCCTCCCAAAAAACCTCTCTGGAGATGGCCCTCTGTGTTGTTCACCACAACTAAGGCAACCCCTGACACATTGTAAGCACTCGGTATTTATCTGTTCTCCGGATTCTTCGTGGAGGTTCTCCCACCAGGGAATAATAGTTTTGGTCACTCTGCTGAACCTCATTGTTAAAGTGGAGCTAACAAATGAGGTGATGTATGTGAAAGAGCAGTCATTTAAACTGGGCCACGGCAGAGCCCATCTTTGGGAGCTTCTTCGCCACAGGAAATGCAGAAAAGGTTTACAAAGCCTGGTGAAAGGTGTTTTCTATTCAGAAGAATATGATCCCTACAGTGTGATTGCTAGGTGCTGAGGGGCAAAGGTGAAGACAAATACAGCTTTGGGGGGGGCGGTGCTTGTTCTGTGCCTGGCACCTGGGTGTCGAGTGCGTGTTTGTGGAAGGGGGCAGCAGGCTTCTTCCCGCGCCCCTCCGACAGTTGCTCTCTCAGTTATTCCTCTTTCTTTAAAGAAGGGGAACGGTTGGCTATGCGTGAAGGATTAAACTTGTAAGAGATCTAGATTAAACACCTTTATTTCATTAAGTGTAGGACATTCCATTCTCAGCTTGAATAAGGGATTAACATATTTTAGTCAAGAGTCTGTCATTTGTTTCTCAAATGATTTTAGAGCCATTTGGTTTTGGTCCCACCCAGCTCTCTTTTTTTAGACGTACCTCAAAATAATATAGTTCCCCAGAGCATGTTCCAAACAATCAGAAAGGCAAAGTCACAACTTTAAGGAGAGTTTCATCTTATATTTCAATGTGTTCAAATACTCCCCTTTCAATGAAGAAAACTGCCGTCTCATCAGCAGTTCTAGTCAAGTGGCTGGATGTAGGACTAATGACATGGATAGCGCTTTTCAAGAAGCAATTCAAATTCTCACGCCACAGCACTTTAAAGCGTGGCTACAAGAGAAGGAGAATTTGGTGTTCATTTCACTAATCTGTATCTCTAGTCACTGAATCATCACGTTTTGGATGATACTGAAATAGGCGTTCTTTTGTGATTATAAGTTATAAGCTGTGTTCATCTCTTTTGCAGTCCCAATTGTGTAATATGTATTGTTTGAAAGTATATTTTCTGAAAATTAAATAAACTTGACTTAAGAAAAACTAGAGATAGTTTGTCTCTATTGACCTCCTCCTTGTTTACATTTCTACACATTTTCCCTATGGGACTTTTAGAGGCCAGAGAATAAGCAAGCCAATTTTTATCATAAATCTCCTTTGTGATTGTTCTTGATGCTTTCTGATTTAGAAGTAGTTAAAGGTTAAGAAGGTAAAATGAATGTATCCATGTCATTAGAACAGCCTCTAGCATAGGCCTGGTATAATTGTAGTGATCAAAGCAGTCTTTAGGAACTCACAGACTGTAGTAACCACCTTTAAATACAGCATATTACATCTAATTCTTAAAAGAACCCTTGAAGGTATTATCCCCATTTTATAGATGAAGAAAATGAAATTCAGAAGTTATATTACCCACATAAAAATTCTACCAGTATCATTCAGTAAGCCCTCTGCACTTTCCTGCATTAACTCAACTTTATCTCATCAATATATCACTAGTTGCTCTTAAGTGTGTAAAGAGGACTGTTAAAGCATTTGTGGCTTTCGAGATAGGCATTAGAGACTTGGCTCTAACACAATTTTTAATATGTTCACAAAGAAGCACCTTTGGCTTTAGGGACATAATATTTCCCAAAATTTCTTCAGAGACCATTTATTAATGATGCATTCCATTTCCATTTATTATTGAACTATATGATTCAGTTTACCCTTTTATTTTTTAATGCAGATTGATTTTATTTATTTTTTAATGTCAAGATCCATTATAAAATATTTAAAAATTTAAATCCATTATAAAGTTTCAGCAATCATGACACCAGTTAGGTTGTGCTAAAGCTGATTCTTCTGTCTGTCTGAGGTTAAAAAGCTCCTCTCTCACTATTGTTCAGTCATTCATTCCAGGTGATTTCTCTACAATTTAGTTGTAATTCCAGGTTGGTCCTGGGAGGAGGTCAGTGTGACTTCCACTCACTCCTCCGCCATCTTGATTCTCTTATCCTTTTAAATGTAAATATAGAATTCTGTTATTTTACTTATAATTTTACTAAGAACCTTTGACGTGAGAGCCGCATCTTTGCAAGTGAAACCCAGGAATTGTTTTCTTTTTTATAAACAGTACAGCTGCAAGATAGGCTTGAAAGCTAACCAGTAAAGTGAAAATTTCCAATAGTCATAATTACCGTAAAACATCCTCTAATTCACCCATAGAGTACAGTACTATATATGTGATTTGTGAATGGAACCTACTCTCTTTCATTCTTTCAGTAGTAAATGTTTATCTATGACCCTCAAGTAATCATACTTTTTCCTTTCTTGAGGTTATAGAAGAAGAAACCATAATCAACCATTTATCTACTATTGAACAATGTTTTAAAGTCACTCACAAATTTTTCTGTTGGTTTCAGGCTTAATTGCATTGATCACATTTAATATAATTAAGGAAAAAGGAGTGTTGTCCTGATGTGGAACCCCTTTACGTTAACACAAACATGATGCACCACCACTGTGACTGGAACTCACTAGCTAAGATTCCTTCTCTTCTCATGCATGGTTAAACTTTCCAAAGAATAAACTTTTCTTTCCCATGCTCTGAACATAAAGAGATTTTGTGTGTATGTGTGTGTTCATTTAGGCTTGTATTATTTTATAAAAACTGAGTGAAAAGCACAACACTCTATCCCAAGGAAACACAATACGTCAAGTGTAACAAGTACTCTCTTGGCGCGGGCAGTTGTGTTGGTGACAAATGTAAGGCACCCTAATTGAATCACTGATGACCCTCTGTAAGCTTATCAGTTTGATACAAATGATCTAAAAGACACAAGAAGGATACAATTACAAGAAAATGGAATAGAGACATCCCCAGGGCACTGAATGTTCCCAGGTGGGGAGTCTTTACCCTTCAAATGATAAACCTAGCATAGTAAGGAGTTGTCAATAGATGTTGAATGAATGTTTCTTGGCCTCCCAGCAATATGAAAACAGATGAGTGTTCTGAGTAAAATGAAATGTCTGACTCTTTTGGGAGAGAATTGAGCTTGGGAAAAATGATGTCATGTTAGCTTTTATATTACGGACATAATTGGTCATGGTGGTTGGTGGAATAGAATTGAGAAAATCTTAAATCCCTGTTTAGGACAGAATTAGGAGGGGGAGTTATATATAAACTCAATATAAAATCAATATTACATCGAAAAGGAAAGGGTTGGGAAGAACAAGGTTATTAAATAAAGAAAAGCTTATCTAATATCTATTGAATGCCTTTATTTTTAGGAGTCTTCCCATTAGCAAACTATGAATCACTTTATTCATTAACTATATTTAATAATAATAATTGCATGAAATCTATAGTTTAGCAAACACTTTCCCTCTTGTCAACTCAACAATCCTATGATTGTAGTGTTATCATCATTCACCAAAGAATAAAAGCACCTGGTGAACCAGGGCAATGTTCTATCAATTTCCATAACCTTGTGCCCATGTATAGTAGACAATTAAAAATGTTTGTTTTTTTAATAAACCCCCATGTTACAAAAGAAAACATAGGCCCAGAAAGATTAAATCACCCCATGCTGTGAGTGGTAGAGGTGGGAATTTGTTCTAGGCTTTTGGCTCTAAATTCTGTGGCATTTACTAATGTAGATGAGCAAATACCTCTCAGCAAAAGCAGATCTATGCATTTGGTAGGTTAATTTTTTAATTTTTCAAGATAATGTACATAAGGACATTTTCATGGTGATTTATCTATTTTCATTCCTCATAAATTTCAGGTATATTCCTTCTGACATTTTACTAAAACTAAAATATGTTTCATGAAACATTTTAACAATATTTATAGAGAGGATTAACATCAAAATGTTAACATATTAAAATATTGTTAAAGAAGCAATTATTTCCCTGCCTTCCTCTACAATTCTTGATAATGAATTTAAGTATTCACACTGATAATAAGGCTGCAGGTTCTGCCTTTCTACTTAGTTCCAGCAGCTCTTCACGGGTATGAGAATCCTGATAACCTCCATCTCATGGAACTCAGAAATGCGTTGATTCAGTTTTAAATGCAAACCTATAATGGCTTTGCACCTAAGTGACTCTCTCCAATGGCACTTACAAAGCAATTCCTTTTACAGGTTGTCAGGTATAATTCTGCCCTTTAAATTCCCTTGTTTTTAGCAATTATTGCAGTTCATTTAATCGCATGGCATCTCTAAGTAGTGATCTTATCACACAATGGAATGAACTTACTCAACTTACTCATTTTGATCTACATTCCATTAATGTCATATCAGCAATACCTGTGTGCTTTTCATAGAAATCCTTTGAAAAGGACTTCTTTCCTCCATTTTCCTGAGTTTCAGAACCTATTATAATGTTCTCTTTTGCCTATTTTTATCTACTCCAAGCTGCTGATTTCCCTTCCCAGCCTAGAATGACATTGTTAAAACCTTGTGTTGTGAAAGCTGGCATTGTGAAAGATAATGCTTTTGCCCCAGGTAACTTCATAAGAATTACCATTTAGCGTTTACAGTGATTCTGACTCACCAAGCTTACAAAAAAAGTGTGATTTTAACCCAGGCTTTAACTACTTCTAGCTGTTAATCTTCTATCATTCAATGTCATTCACATATTCTTCAGGGTTTTTTTTTTTATTTACTTAAGAAACAAATCACCACCTATAGTTCCAATGTGAAATAAAAACTTTACCATAAACCAAATCCATGTTATATTAAAGTATCTGTTATCACTCGTAATCTTTCTTAAAACTTTCACACTCTGGGACTGAGGTTTCCCTATTCGCTTTCCTTTTCTTCTATTCCTCCTGCCCATTTGTTCTTAATGAGGGGGATTTTATTCATAGCTTTACTTCTTTATTTTCCCCTTTGCCTTTTTCTTGTTACTCTTCTTTCTTATTCTTTAAACTTTTGTCTTTTGTTTTATACTTTTATCCTTCTGTCCTGACATTCTTTCTT